GGCCCACCCAAACTGTTCATTTGACCTGAATATTGTTCCAACAGTAGGAATAGTGTACCAACAGGTTGAAAGGCTTGGAAACACACTAGAGGCACCTTTAAAGAGCTGTTGGAGTATGGGGACATGGGTTTCAAATTTTTCCCCTCGAGGGCAAAGGGCTATTGAAAAGGGGAGCCCTTTATATAAAGGACATCGAACCACCCTTTTGTAAATGGGTTAGGCTATTGAGAGAAAGCTTAAGGCTTTGTAAATTTATAGACATTGTATTAGGAAGCTAGTAATTGCGAATACACACTTCCTTTGCCATCCTTTATTGTGCTTTACTTTTCTGCACTTTGCTTTCCTTTGTTGACTGAGCCTTTCTTGAGCATGATCTGTACCCTTCAATGGAAAGGCCATTTAGGCTAATTTTGGTTGTGGTGAGGGTCAAGGGTTGTCCACGAGTGTTCTTAAGCAGACACCCTTTAACACTTAAGTTGCGTTTGGTATGAGGGAAGTGGGAGCACATTCCCTGCAATGTGTCCAATTAAATTACATTGCAGTGTTTGTTTTGTAACAGACCACTACAATGTAAGATTGCAATGCAATCACATTACAGCCAAGGGATGTAATGTGATTGCAATACAAAATCAATGCAATCACATTACATTGCACTCTACAATGTTCTTAAAGACAATTTTACCCTTCAACTTTATTACCTTATTAAAAATATTTTATAATGTTATAATTAAAATAAAAAAGATTAAAATAAAATATATAATATAAGAATAAAAAATTAAAATAAAATAAAATATAAAAAATTAACATTTATATAATATAGGTAAAACAAATTAAAATAAAACATATAATATAAAAAATATATTAAAAAAATAAAAATAAAATATATAAGATTATAATAATAAATGAAAATAAAATATATGACATTAAAAATATATTTAAGATATGATATTATATAAAAATTAATAATATAAATATAAATATAAATATATTAAACTTGTATTTTAATAATTATGGGTAATTTTGAAGATTAATATTATATTTCCAGTAAAGTACTTGTAAACCAAATACTGCAATGTTATCTTCCCTGCATTTTAATCAT